GGACCCTTTCCCATTCCTGGGATCCCTTTTCCTTCCCCAGGATCCATTTTCCATCCCCGGGATGATGTTTTTCCAGCTCRGACAGGGTTTGGAGCAATCTGAGATAGTGGAAGGTGGCCCTGCTCATGGGATGGGATGGGCTTGGAGTTCTTCCTGATCCCAACAATTCCAGGATTGGGGGCTTTATCCCACAGGAACACTCTGGCTGCACATCCGGGCTCTGGGCCAATGGACCACCAAGCTCCACGAGTACTTCCAGCGGCTGGAATTGCCTGGCCCAGAGCCGGAACCACCGGGGAAGAGCCGCAGCTGGGATCGGGTCAGTGGGATTGGGATCAGAGCAGAGAGATTGATCCCACTGAATGCTGAGCAGATCCCATGGGATCATCCCAATTTGCCGCTGGGGTGGCCGCCAGGGAATCCCTTGGGATGAACATTCCCTGCTTGTTCAGAAGGGTTTTGTGTCCCCTGAAATGGGATTGTGTTCCCTGGAATGGGATTTTGTCCTCCATGGATTGGGATTTTGTCCCCCATGGAATGGGATTTTGCACCCCACGTGTGGCTGTGACCCCAGGGGAGGGACAGTGGATCCCCAGGAGATTCCCAGTGGTGATTCCCAGCTTTGGTTTCCTAGGAAGGCTCCAAGGGGGGATCCGTGGCCACAGGCAGGGACGGAGCTGTGGAGTTGACGTCGTTCCGAGCCTCAGGAGCTGCTTCCCTGGAAAAGGACCTGGAGCAGGGAGTGAGCTCTTGTTCCCAATTCCAGAGGATAGGGATGGGGGTCACAGCCACAGGATCATCCAGAGAGATGATCCCAAATGGGATAAAGCTCCTTAAAAAGCTCCTTTTAAAGAAATTCCTTGGACATGATGGTGGGCAGCTGGAAGTGTATGCAGCCTGGTGGGAAGCCCCCCAGAATCCTGGGAATAGCAGGTTTGGGAAGGGTTGGGAATGCCACTGCTGCCCTCCCCTCACAGAGCCTGGCCGGGCTGGGGGAGACCCATCGGAGCTGCAGCATCAAGGTGAGAGTGTTCCCGCTTTTCCTTGGGAGCTGGGCTGGGATCAGCATTCCCAGCTATCCCATCCATGTTCCTGACACCCCTTTCCCTGTGTCCCTGTTCATGGATGAATCCTTTGCTCCCAAAAAACCTCATAAAAGCTCCCAAATTCTGTGATCCCCTTTGTGCCCTTCTTCTCTGCCTGGGAGTCATTCCAGCACCTGGGTCTGGATCTGTCCCGGGTCTGGATCTGTCCCTGGGTCTGGATCTGTCCCTGGGTCTGGATCTCTCCCGGGTCTGGATCTCTCCCAGTGCTACCTGGACGGTCCCTATGGAACTCCGAGCGGGCGGATCTTCACGTCGGAGCACGCGGTGCTGATCGGAGCTGGCATTGGGATCACGCCCTTCGCCTCCATCCTGCAGAGCATCATGTTCAGGTGGATCCTGCAGGGAGCTCGGGAATATCCCACAGAATATCCTAGGGAATATCCCTGACTGGATTTGGGATGCGTGCCTGGATAGACCGGTCCTCCGACGCCTCTTCCATAGGAATCTAACCAGGCATGGGAAGAAAAGAGAAGGAAAAGCAGGAAAGGGCAGGAAAGGACAGGAGGGAATAGGAAGAACCAGGAAGGAGGAAAAAGGAGCAGAAAGGGGGCAGGAAGGGGTAGGAAGAGAAAGGACGGGGCAGGAAGGAGCAGGAAAAGCAGAAAGGAGCAGGAAAAGCAGAAAGGAGCAGGAAAAAGTGGGAAGCACCAGGAAAAGCCAGAAGAGCAGCATTCCCTGTCCAGGTACCGCCGGAGGAAGCAGAGCTGCCCCAGCTGTGGCTTCTCCTGGAGCGAGGAACGGCGGGATGAGGGGATGACGCTCCGGAAGGTGGGAATGGAAACAGGAGCAGGAGGGGATGCGGGATCTGGGTTTGCTCTGGAATGGGACTGTAGGTCCAGGGCTTGGAGAGCCCAGGAGCGTCCCTGGGATCCAGGCAGTTTGGGAATGGAGGATTTGGAGATGAGATTTGGCCATGGGATTTGGTGGCGGGATCTGGGGATGGGATTTGGGAATGGGATTTGGTGGCAGATCTGGTGGTGAGATCGGGTGATGGATTTGGTGATGGGATCTGGTGATGGATTTGATGGGATCTGGTGATGGGATTTGATGGGATCTGGTGATGGGATTTGATGGGATCTGGTGATGGATCTGGTGGCTGCTCGAGCAGAGGTTCCGTGCCATTCCAGGTGGATTTCATCTGGATAACACGGGATCAACAGCACTTCCAGTGGTTCCTCAGCCTCCTGACCAAGCTGGAGACGGAGCAGGCGGAGCTGGAGCCGGGAGGTGAGCGGGAATTGTCCGGTGCCATGCCTGGGAAGAACCCCACCCCGATCCGGGAGGCCAGATGGGGGCCGGATCCCTGTCAGACCTGGGATTCCCGGGAATTGCAGGGAAGTTCCTGGAGCTGCACCTGTACATGACCTCGGCCCTGGGCAAGGGGGACATGAAGGCCCTGGGGCTGCAGGTGGCCCTGGATCTGCTGGCGGCCAAGGAAAACCGGGATTCCATCACCGGGCTCCGCACCCGCACCCAGCCCGGCCGCCCCGACTGGGCCAAGGTGAGGGCCGGAGTCACCGATCCAATCCCAAATCCTGCTTTTGGGATCCGCTGGGATTCCCAGGGAACTGGAATGCGTGTGGAGAGCCTGGGTTGGGCCAAAGCGGGAAGGGATCAGGGAATTATGGGAGGGGTTGAGTTGGAAGGGAATGGAAGGATCACTTCATCCCAGTGCTCTGATCTGGCCCAGGGATCATGGAATGGGATGAGAGAATCATGGAATGGGTCGGGTTGGAAGGGAATTGCACACCCCCGATCCCAAACCCCCAGATCTGAGCCCTTCCCATTGCAGGTGTTTGGGAATCTGGCGCAGGAGCAGCACGGGCAGGTCCGGGTGTTCTTCTGCGGCTCCGCGGGGCTGGCCAAGGAAATCCGGGAACACTGCCGGCACTTCGGATTCGGCTTCTCCCGGGAAAACTTCTGACCCCCAATATCCCCGACATTCCCACCGCATCCCGGCCTGGATCCGCTCTGTCCCGGCTGGGAGTGTGGGATAGGGTGGGGCCATGATCCTGGAACATCCGTGGCGGGATTTGGGATGGAGGAGATGGGGGTCCTGTGGCACCAAACTCCATGGATTTGGAATGAAGGGGATGAGGTCCTGGAGGGCTCTGGGATGGTGGGGATGGGTCCTGTGGCACCTTCCCGGGATTTGGGATGCTTTGGGATGATTTGGGATGCTTTGGGATCCCCCGGTGCCCACAGGAGGGTGCCGCCGCCCCGGGACCGCCCTTCCCTTCCCCTCTGCCATTTCCCCCTCCATCCCCAGATTCCCTGGGATCTGAGGAATAAATGAGGAAAAGATGGGAATGCTGGGGTTGATGTCGCTCATGGAAGCAATTCCAGCTCCTCGGCAAACCGAGGGAAATCCGGGAAGCAGTGCCTGCTCCCTCCAGCCCCGGAATCCGCGCTGGATTGGGGCTGGTTTTCCCGGTAAACCAACGGGAATGTGGGAATGAGGAGCCGTGGGGAGCCTGGATCCCGATCCCTCTGGTAATTCCTCCTTTTCCTGCCGGGTCCGTGCCCGGATCCCGCTCCGGCTGTATCGTAGCAACAGCTCCGGCTTGGCAACGCGCACAATTCCCGGGATTAGCGCTGGGTCGGGATTTACCCGCGTTCATCGCGCCGAGCGGGGGCTCTGCCGGGCTCATCCCGAGCTGTGGATTCACCTGGAGGGTTTTCAGGGACAGGGAGCGTTTGGAATCATGGAATGGTTTATGTCAGCAAAGCCTGGAGTCCAGGCATTCCCAGCACCATCCCCAAGGGCCACATCCACAGGGATTTGATTCCACAGGGATCTGGCTCCACAGGGATCTGGCTCCACAGGGATCTGACTCCACAGGGATTTGGCTCCACAGGGATCTGGCTCCACAGGGATCTGACTCCACAGGGATCTGAATCCACAGGGATTTGACTCCACAGGGATCTGACTCCTCAGGGATCTGACTCCACAGGGATCTGACTCCACAGGGATTTCAATCCCTGCCTGGCGCCGGTTCCAAGGTTGGATCTTTTCCCCTGGCGCAGCCGCTCCCCCCAGGGCCTCCCCCCCCGCAGCGGGAACACGGCGGCGGGAAACCGCCTTCCCTCCCGCCTCGGTTCCTTTCATTGATTAATTATTAATTAAAGCCCCACGGTAATTATTGGAATTAAAGCCGGCGGCGCCCGCGTCACGCGCGCGACCCACGTGACCGCCAGGTGGGCGGGGTCTGGCGCAGCCAATCAACGACGTTCTCCGCCCGGAAGCCCCGGCCCCTCAACGCGCGTTTCTGATTGGTCCCCGCCAGGCCGCGCCCGCGCGCGCCGCTCTCGCGGGAAGCCGGGGCGGGGCCGCCCCCCCCCGCGGGCGCGCCGGTGGTGAGGGGGCCGCGGTGAGGCGGCACCGGAGCTGCCGCGCGGGGGCGAGGCAAGAGCCGACAGCGGTTCGGCTGTCCCCGGTGTGCCCGGGGCGGTGGCGCCTTCTCCCCGCCCTGCCCTGCCCGGCGCCGTTGTGGCGGCGGCAACGCCGCGCCACGCGTTCCTATTGGTTGGCGCTCCCTGCGCGCACCGCCCCTCGCGCTCTCCCATTGGCTGCGGGGCGCGAGGGCGGGGCCCGGCGCGGTTCCTCCGTGCTCCCCCCGCCGCCCCGCGCGGGGGTTCCGCCGCCCGCCAGGCCCGGCCGCAGGTAGGGAGCGAGCCGGGAATGCCGGGATCCCCCGCGGGATGGGAATAACGGGAATAACGGGAATGGCAGCAGGAATGGGAACGGGAGCGACACCGGGCTGCAGGATCACCCGGAGCCGGCGGGGCTGGGCATGCTCGGGCCGCCCTGGGCTGGCTGACAGAGCCTGGGATGAGGGAATAGGGGCGGTGGGAATATGGGATTGGGAATACAGGAATATGGGCTGGAAGATGCAGGAAAAAGGGATACGGGCTGGGGGAATTTGGGCTACCCATATGGGACTGTGGGGTGCGAGAATAGGGCTGTGAAATGCAGGAACATGGACTGTGGAATTCAGGGATATGGGCTGAGGAATTCCGGCATATGGATTATGGAATTCGGGAGTACGGGCTATGGAATTCTGGGATACGGGCTGTGGAATTCAGGGTTACAGGCTGTGGTGCTGAGGAACACCCGGAGGAACCCCCTGCCTTCCTCCCCGTGGATTCCAGGCTGTGCGTCCTGCCTGGAAATCCTGGAATTCCGGGTGATCCAAACTCCAGCAGGAGGAAATTGGGGATCCTCGAGAGCCCCTAGAAAATCCCGGCCTGGGCAATTCCTGGGATTTCTGTGGCTGGATTACCTGGATAGGCTTGGAGTGCAATCATGGATTCATGGAATGCTTTGGGATGGAAGGGACCTGCAAGCTGATCCCATCCCATCCCCTTTCCATGGGCAGGGACAATTCCCATTAGCCCGGGAAAAGGCTGGAGCAGCTGGGAAGGAGCTCCATTTTGCAAGGAATTCTCGGTTTCGTAAAACCCTTTGGCTTTTCCTGGGATAATCCTGGAATTCTGGGATGCTTTGGCTTGGGAAGACCTTAAAGGGGATCTAATTCCCAAAAATTCTGGGATCCACGTTTGTGCTCTGGATGGGAGGAGCCTTGGGAAATCATATTCCATGGATATTTTTGGGTTTTTCCTGTTTGATTTTCTGATTTTTGGGAAGCAGAAGGATTTTCCTTGAGCACAGGTTGTTAAAAATTGGAAAATTGGGATCTTTTCCATTTGGGAATTCCAGCTCCTGCTCCAGGCTGGGTTTACCCATCCTGGTTAAAACATTCCTGGATTTTGGGCCGCAAATCCCAGCCAGAGGTAGAATTCTCTATTCCTGGGATCTGGGTTCTTCCACAGGCTGGCTTTGAATTTTTTTTTTTTTGGGGGGGGGGATTTTTTTTTTCTGGAAAAATGTGGATTTCCCTTGAATTTGGTGTGGAAAAGACTCCTCACTTTTTTGGGAAAGTAGCAGGAGCAGCCATGGTGGGAACTGGGAGCCAGAGGATTTGGGGATCAGGGAAAGGCAAGAATTCCGGCACTTCCAGCCTGGAAAGACCAGAATTCCCAGCGTGGGATTTTATGGATCTCCCTCTTCCTTTTCACCTGGAAAAATCCTTCTGGATGTGCCTGGCCTTGGAAAAAAATCCCATTTCTGATCCCAAAATTCTTCCCTGGGATGCTGATCCCAAATCCCTTCTCCTGGGCTGGAATTCCAGCTGCTCCAGTGGGAATTCCATCCCTTCAGGAGAATGGGAATAACTCAGGAATGTTTGGATCCCTTTGGAGATTTTTTTGCACTCCTCTCTGTGCAAATTCCAGCTGTAAATTCCAGACCCTCTGGAGCACCTGGGATGGGCAGCTTCCTGCTGGAGGAAACCTTGGGAGCTCATGGATTAACTGAAATTGAGCCTGGAATTTGCCTTTGGATCCAATGTTTGGAATTCCTGGAGTATTCAGGGCCCAAATCCCATTTTTCCCGGTGCAGGGAGGTGCTGGCAGAGCCATTCCAGGTGGATTTTTCCCTTGGATCCCTTTTCCTGCATTCCCACTCCTCCAGGCCCATCCCAGCTTTCCAAGGAAATTGGAATTCTCAGGAATTAGGGAATGGGGGGGGAGGATTAATGGGGGAAAATTCCCATGGGATTCTCTTGGGAGCTCATGGAAAACTTGGGAAGCTCCTGGAGCAGGGATTGGAAGCGGCAGCTTTTCCATGAAATCCCAGCTGTGCCCACCTTCCATCGGCTCAGGAGAATCTGGAATTTGGATCCGGATCCCAGCAAAGCAGGTCAGGGATTTTTAAGTTTCCCGAGGAATTAAAAATTCCTGGATTTCCTACTGGAGCAGTGGTTCCCAAAGAAAATTCCCTGCAGGAGCCAGGAACGGTCGGGAAAAGCTTCGCGGATCCGGAGCTTTTCCTTTTTCTGGGAGCGGCTTTGGAAGAGCAGATTTTTCTTTCAGTGTGCCTCTTCCAAAGCCTCTGGCACCAGGGAATTTGTTTCCAAACACGGAATCTTGGAGCTGCTTCCAGGCCTGGCTTCCAGTGGGAGCAGCTCCTCGGGAATGTTCACATGGAAGCTTCCCGGGAATCCGGCTTTTAAAGGAACAGTTCTGCTCCTGGCAACGGGAAAAGGGAAAAATTTGGGAAAACTTCTCCTTGGATGCCTTTGGATCAGACATGGAACGCTGGGGGAAAGGGAGGGAATTCCTGGAGTTCCTGGGAAGGGATGGGATGGGAAGAGGGAGCTGCTGGAGAATTCCAGAGGGAGCTGCTGCAGAGGCCTGGAGCCAGGCTGGGAATGCCAGGAATGTTCACCTGGAGCAGGGAAGGATCCAGGGATAGGCAGCACTTCAATTCCAACGGGGATGTTGGCAAATTCCCAGCAGGGAATTCCAAATTTCCTTGTCAGCTTCTCCAAGAAAATTCCATTTCCTTGGCAAGCACAGCACCAGATCCCTGGATTTGCTTCCATGTTTTCCCCGATTCCAGCGGCTGCTGTGAGTGACAGCTGGGCACATTCCCTGGAACAGATTCTCCAATGGAAAAGCTCCTCAGGCCCTGGGATCAGGCTGTCAATTCCCAGTTTTTTTTGCTGTCAGAGCAAATCCATCCCTGGGACTCTCAGAGTGGAAGGGCTCCTCCAGCCCATCCCGGGATTCCAGGATTCCATGATCCATAGGAACTGCACTTTGCTGAGGCTGGAGTTGAGCCCGGAATTTGCCTTTGAATCCAATGTTTGGAATTYCTGGAGGATTCAGGGCCCAAATCCCGTTTTTCCCGGTGCAGRRAGGTGCTGGCAGAGCCATTCCAGGGGATTTTTCCCTTGCATTCCTTTTCCAGCAGTCCCACTCCTCCAGGCCCAGCCTAGCTTCCCAAGAAAATTGGAATTCTCAGGAATTAGGGAGTGGAGCTTCCAGGGAGAGGATTAATGGGGAAAAATTCCCAGCAGGCTCTGACAGGAATTGGAATGGGGATCAAAGGGATTTATGGAGCTAATTCCGGGGGAAAATTCCAATGGAATTTTAAAAGGAGATGTGGKGTAAACAGGCTGGAAAAACACCTGCAATTGAGTTTGCTTTGGAATCCTTGGAAAACCAAACCTTTTCCAGGAGAATCTGACAGCAGAGGTTTTATGGGATTGGGAATGATTTGGGAAGGGAAGAAGGAAAGGATTTTCCAGGCTCTGCCGAGCTGGGAAAGGGCAGAGTCCGGGAAAGGCTGGGAGGGAATTCCAGAGGTTGGAATCCTGATTCCCAGTAAATCCATGGGCCTGAGGATGCCTTGGGCTAATTCCTGTTTTAAGGAATAAAAAAACCCCATGGGGTTTGTCCCTGGATTCGATCCGGGAAAATGCAACAGCAGTAAAAAATCTGGGAAAAAAAAAACAAAAAAAAACCCTAGGAATTATTTTGGGAATAAAGGCTGGAATTCGGGGAGTTAAATCCCTGGAGCTCCGGGAACAATTCCAAAGCCTCATCTCAGATCCGGGGCTCCGGATTTTCCCTTGGAATTTTCCCCTTCATGGCTTCACGGCGGGCTAAAATCGGGATCCTTGCCATGGAGGTTTTCCTCGGGAATTCTTCGGGAGCCGTTCAGGGAAGCAGCTGCCGGGATTTCCTCGGGATCGGGATCGGGCTCGGGCTCGGGAGGGGCCACGCGGAGGAAGTGACATCCCCGCTCCCGATCCCTCGGGATTCCGCCCGCCGGGAGCGCAGCCGGGAATTCGGCAGCGGCAGCTGGCAGTCCTAAGGTTTTTCTGGGAATAGCAGGATTTCTGTGAGAATCAGAGGATTTTTCCAGGAAAAACCCCGCTCCGGGGCTGCTGCGGSTCCTGGAGCGCATCCATTTTTTCCTTGTTTTCCCTCTGCATCCCTGCAGGAATCCCGAGAGGAATCGCCTGAAATCGCAGGGATTGTTGCCGCTGGAACCTCGGGATGCGTTAGAATTCCAGGAATTCCCGTTGCTTAAGGTAAGGGAGGGGCTGCTTTTCCCGGTTCCCATTTATTCCCTGACTCTGGTGGCATCACTGGAGTTCGTATCCTGGTTTTTCAGCTTTTCCCTCAAGGGTTAAAGCTGATCCCGGGGGAGAATTCCCAGCTGGAACGGGCAGATGGCTCCGGGTTTTCAGGGATCACCGGGATGAGCTGCAGGGGTTATGCTGCCTAAATCCCGCTTTTCTGAGGTTTTCCTGGATGGGGAGTGACTCCCGAGGGCGGGAATGAGGGGGAGGAGGTGAAGCCTCACCTCGGGAGAGTGGGAAGTGCAGAATTCCCTCCGTTTGGGAGCTGTTTCCATCAATTCCTGGGAAGCATCCCTGGGGAATTATTCCTGGGGAATTTGGGATTGTTTGATGATGGGAATGTGCTAATGATCTTCATTTGCATATTACATTTCATTATCCCTGCAGATAGCAGGGAAAACCCTGAAATTTCACCTCCTGGAACTGTGGAGAGGCTTTGGGATCCTGTGGAAAATCCAGGGATCAAACTGGAGCTYGGATCTTTAGGATTCTTCCCAACTGAATTCCCTGATTTTACCCAATTTTCCAGTTTTTCCCAGATTCTGGGTTTGTTTTTTGATTTATCCTGGTTTTTATCGCTTGGGGTTGATCCCACTGTGAAAAACTTCAGCTCCAGGGTGCTGCTGGGGCTCTGCTCCATCCTGGTGGCTTTGCCTGGCCCCGTTTTCTGGGATACTGATACTGGTGCTATTCCCAGCTGGGAACATCCCAAATCCCTGCCCTGATCCCAAATCTGTGTTCTCATCCCATATCCCTTCCATTTTTCYAGGAATGCTGGCRCCATACGCTGCCTGGCRGCTCKSCTTAGCTCCAGGGCGCTGCTGGTGCTCTGCTCCCTCCTGGTGGCTTTGCCTGTCCCCATTTTCCGGGATACCAGTATAGCTGCCATTCCCAGCCAGGAACATCCCAAATCCATGCCCTGATCCCGTATCCATGTTCTCATTCCTATTTTTCCAGGAATGCTGGCACCATGCGCTGCCCGACAGCTCGGCTCAGCTCCAGGGCACTGCTGGTGCTCTGCTCCCTCCTGGTGGCTTTGCCTGTCCCCATTTTCCAGGGTACTGATGCCATTCCCAGCCAGGAACATGCCAAATCCCTATCCTGATCCCATATCCATGTTCTCATTCCCGTTTCCCAGGAATGCTGGCACCATGCGCTGCCTGGCKGCTCGGCTCAGCTCCAAGGCGCTGCTGGTGCTCTGCTCGCTGCTGGCCRTGCTCACGGTGCTGCTGTGGAGCCGCTGTCCCTCCGGCCGCTCCGTGCCCGTCCCAAGGGATCCCGCGCTCCCGGAGCGCCGCGGGAACGCCGACACCGCCTCCGACCCRGCCGGGGCTCGGCCGCCCAGCGAGGAGGCGTCGCCGCGGGAGCTTCCCAAGGCTCCGGCAGCGGGAGCGGGGAGCGCCGGGAAAGGCGGCCTGAGGTACGAGGAGATCGACTGCATCATCAACGAGGAGCACACGGTCAAGGGGCGCCGCGAGGGCAACGAGGTGTTCCTGCCCTTCAGCTGGGTGGAGAAATACTTCCAGGTGTACGGGAGGATCGCCCAGTCCGACGGCAGCGAGCGCTTCGAGTTCTCCCACAGCTATTCCAAGGTGTACGCCCAGCGCGCTCCGTACCGGCCCGACGGCGTCTTCATGTCCTTCGAGGGCTACAACGTCGAGCTGCGCGACCGCGTCAAGTGCATCAGCGGCGTGGAAGGTGGGTGGGGATTCCCAGGATCRGGATGATCCTGAAATTCTGCTGGAGTGCTCCTTAAAGTGTCCCGCAGGTATAAAGGGACCTGGGTGTGGTGGTGGGAATGGAACAATTCACACTGGGAATAAACCATGGAGTGACTTCATTTCCACAATTCCTTCAGGAGGAAATACAGGATATTTCAAATATGGTTCTTAGGGATCTTTGGGATTGGGATAATCCTTAAAATCTGCTGGAGTTTCTCCTTAAAGTGTCCCAGAGGTATAAAGGGACCTGGGTGTGGTGATGGGAATGGAACAATTCCCGATGGAAATAAACCGTGGAGCTTCCTCGTTTCCACAATTCCTCAGGGCAGAAATACGGGATATTTCAAATATGGTTCTTTGGGATCTTTGCGATTGGGATGATCCTTAAAAATTTCTGCTGGAGTTTCTCCTTAAAGTGTCCCAGAGGTATAAAGGGACCTGGGTGTGGTGGCAGGAATGTAACAATTCCCACTGGGAATAAACTGTGGAGCGACCTTATTTCCAGCATTCCTTCAGGAGGAAATACGGGATATTTCAAATGGGGTTCAATCCGGGTGTCATGTCAAATCCTGGATTTTCCTTGGAACAAATTCCCAATGTCTGAACCCAAATCCAAAGTGGGAATGAATCTCCCCMGGAATGATTCCTCCTGGAGGCACAAAGGGACCTGGGTGTGATGGTGGGAATGTAACAATTCCCGCTGGGAATAAACTGTGAAGTGACTTCATTTGGATTTGGGTTCAGATGTTGGGAATCTGCTCCAAGGAAAATCTGGGATTTGAGGAGAAGCCTGGATTGATCCATRTTTGAAATATCCTGTATTTTCTCCTGGAGGAATTGTGGAAATCAGGSTCCTCTACGGTTTATTCCCAGGCATCCAAAGGGGGTTTTCCACCAAAATCCTGGGATCTGGGAAGGGGCAGRCAGAGCTTAGCAGAGTTTTCTGCAGGTGCAGAATCCCAAGGATTCCAGGGAGGGGGGAATTTCAGGCCTCAATGAACCCCTTGGGTGGGATTTTCTGTGAAATCCAAAAAATGCAGACAGGGGCTCCGAGCTCTTCCCACTTGGAATGCTCAGAGGGGCTCCAGGGGGTTCCTTTAGAGCTGGAATCATCCAATCCCTAAATTAGGGAGGGATTTGTGCTCTCCTGGGAGGTTTTGGGGGATTTTTCCTGACAGGAAGCTCAATCCCAAGAATGGCTGGGCTGGAGCAGCTCTGGCTGGAGGAATTGGGGCAGATYCTGCTTGGAGAATGTGGGAATTCTCCCCGGGAAAATGGGAGAGATCKGAGGCTCTTTTAGCATCCAGTAACTCTTGAAAAAATCTGCTGGAACAGATGGACTTAATTTGTGGGGATTTATGGGATGTTAAAGGGATTGTGGGGGATGGAAGAGCCTTYGGGATTAACCGAGCCCTGGAGCAGGGGGAAAATCTGGGCAGGGCTTTGGGAATGTGCGGCATTCCAGGRACAGTGGAATGGGATGGAGCCAGGYTGGKAAYGCTGGGAATGCTCCCCTGGAAATGGGAAGGATCCAGGGAATCCTTGCAGCCCCTTSCAGGGCCTAAAGGGGCTCCAGGAGARCTGGAGAAACTGGAGAGGGAGTGGGGACAAGGGATGGAGGGACAGGACACAGGGAATGTCTTCCCACTGGGAAAGGGGCGATTTAGATGGGATATTGGAAAGGAACTGTTCCCTGTGAGGGTGGGGAGGGGCTGGGCTGGAATTCCCAGAGAAGCTGTGGCTGTCCCTGGATCCCTGGAATGTCCAAGGCCAGGCTGGAGCACCCTGGGATAGTAGGAGCTATCCCTGCCCTTCAAATGGGATGGAATTTGAGGTCCCTTCCCAACCTATTCTGGGATTCCATGGAAGCTGGAACCACCATGCCAGGGATTCCTCTGCCAGCTAAAATTACAGGATTATGGATTTTAGTGGGAAATGCTCAATTCCCTCCTTGCCCAGGGTTTTCCCCAAACGGCGCCACCTCTCAATCCCATCAGCCGAAGGTGCCAGAGCGTCAGGGCGCCAGGGAGGAATTTTGGACCTCATTCTGATGGCTCTTCCATGCTTTTTCCCGGCAGGAGTGCCACTGTCCACGCAGTGGGGCCCCCAGGGCTACTTCTACCCCATCCAGATCGCTCAGTACGGCCTGAGCCACTACAGCAAGAACCTGACCGAGAGGGCGCCCAGCGTGCGGCGCTACGAGAGCGGCGGGGATCGCGAGCGGGAGCGGGATCGGGACACGGACACGGACGGGGATGGGGACGGGGAATGGACAGTGCCCAAGGGCTGCTCCCTCTCCACCGTGTGGGACAAATCCAAGCTCACTGGAGTCAAGGAGTTCTCCTGCCCAGGTAGGTGTTGGGAATTCCAGCAGGTGATGGATACGGGGGGCTTGGGATTCTAGGGGTCCTGTGGTTTAGTTTGGCCTTCATTCCCCWTTTTTCATTCCCAGTCCTTCATTCCCCATCCTTCTTTTCCCATCCCTCATTTCCTCCAAGGCTCCTCTCCCTGCTCCAAGGCTTTGGGATTGGGAATGTTTTGGTGCGGAGTGAGGCTCTTCGAGTTGGTTTTGAGGGAGCCTCCAAGGGCATTTCCACGCTCCAAACCCTTGGGACTGGGAATGTTGTGGTGCTGAGCGAGGCTCTTTGGGAGCCTCCAAGGGCATTTCCATGCTCCAAACCTTTGGGATTGGGAATRTTGTGGTGCTGAGCRAGGCTCTTTRCGTTGGTTCTGCAGAGGCCTCCGAGGGCGTCTCCCTGCAGCTCAACAACGGGCGGGATTTCATCATCTCCTTCGACCTGAAGCTGGTGACCAACGGCAGCGTCTCGGTGGTGCTGGAGACCACGGAGAAGAACCAGCTCTTCACGCTGCACTACGTGTCCAACACGCAGCTCATCGCCCTCCGCGACCGCGACATCTTCTACGGCATCGGCGCCCGCACCGCCTGGAGCACCCTGACCCGGGACCTCCTCACGGACCTCCGCAAGGGCGTGGGGCTCTCCAACACCAAGGCGGTGAAGCAGACCAAGATCATGCCCAAGAAGGTGCTCCGGCTGGTGGYCCGGGGCCACGGCTTCCTGGACAAYGTCACCATCTCGGCCACRGCCCACATGGCCGCCTTCTTCGCCGCCAGCCACTGGCTGCTGCGCAACCAGGACGAGCGCGGCGGCTGGCCCATCGCCGTCACCAGGAAGCTGGGAGAGGGCTTCAAATCGCTGGACCCGGGCTGGTACTCGGCCATGGCGCAGGGCCAGGCCATGTCCACACTGGTCAGGGCCTACCTGCTGACCAAGGAGCCGGCGTTCCTGGGCGCGGCGCTGCGGGCCACGGCGCCCTACAAGCTGCCGGCRGAGCGGCGCGGGGTCAAGGCCGTGTTCATGGGGCGCCACGATTGGTAYGAGGAGTACCCCACCTCGCCCAGCTCCTTCGTGCTCAACGGCTTCATGTACTCCCTGATCGGCCTCTACGACCTCAAGGAGACGGCGGGGGAGAAGCTGGGCGAGGAGGCGCGGCGGCTCTACGAGCGCGGCATGGCGTCGCTCAAGGCCATGCTGCCGCTCTTCGACACCGGCTCGGGCAGCGTCTACGACCTGCGGCACTTCACGCTGGGCACSGCGCCCAACCTGGCGCGCTGGGACTACCACACCACCCACATCAACCAGCTGCAGCTGCTGGGCTCCGTCGACCCCGCGCCCATCTTCAAGGACTTCGCCAAGAGGTGGAAGAGTTACCTGCGAGGAGGGCGGGCCAAGCACAACTGAGCTCCTCCTCCTCCTCCTCTTCCTCCTCTTTCCAGCCTCCCCTCTCYGATCCTGCTCCGAAGAAGTGATCCTTAAAACTGCTCCGGGGAAGGTTTGGGATCGGGGAATTCTGCCCGTCCTYGGCGTTCCATGCCCTGAGGTTTAGGTGGGATTCCGGTGGGATTTATTTTTCCTTTTTCGAGGAAAACGTTTGCAGAAGCCATAGAAGTCTTGGAAGCGCGGTCCCTGCTCGGAGAGTTGCTCTGGGGGCATCCGGAGCCGGGATTGTGCGCCCATGGTGGAGCGGCTCCCATGGGATGAGCACTGGGAATCGCTCGGAGCCTGGGGAACGCAGAGTGTGGCTTTAAAGTGGGGAGGGGGGTTCATAGGGATTCTTTCTGGGAGGAAAAATCCACATTTGGGATTTTTCGATACTCCCACATTTGGGAGTTTTCTGTCTGGAGATCCTGGAGCTGGAGGGCTTTTTCATGGAAAACATGTGTCCAGGGTCATGGAAGCACAACTGGGAGCCTGGACCGGCACTGGAATCCCCTTGGAGCTGGGGTCCCTTGGAGCTGGGATTCCTCGGAGCTGGAATTACTCGGAGCTGGTATCTCTTGTCCTCGAGCTCCATGTTTCTGTTGGGTTTTGTAATTCCATCTGGGAAGTTTCTCTGAGCTTTGGCCATTTTCAGGGACATTGGTTGGGAATTGCCGATYGGAGCTCATCAGGAGTCCCTCAGGAAATTCAGGAATTCAGGAAGCTTTTCCTGGGGTGATTTTAATGTTTATCCTGCTCGAGTCAATCCGGCATTTCAAAAAGGAAAGTGTTCCCGGAGGGCTTTGCATTCCCAGAGAAGCTGTGGCTGCCCCTGGATCCTGGAATGTCCAAGGCTGGGCCGGACGGGACTCGGAGCACCCTGGGATAGTGGGAGGTGTCCCTGCCCATGGAATGGGATGAGCTTTAAAGTCCTTTKCACCAAACCATTCCATGTTTCCATGAATCCCATAAACGATTCCCACTCGCTGCCTGACCTCAGACTCATGCCGAGGTCATGGATGGACTTTGGGGATTCCTGCCGCTCCCATTCTATGTTGTCAGTGACAGAGCTCATCCCAATCCCAAAATCCCGGGCACAAGGACAGCGCCCATCTCCATCTTTTTATTGCTTTTGGTTTTTTAGGCTTTTTTAAAAGTTCTCACCCATCTTGGAAGTGACTTTTCTTTGAGTTTTCTGATCGGATCCGTCCATCCGATGGAAGAGGAGAAATTCCAGTACCAAAGGTAGCAGAGGGGAATTTTTTTCCAGGCCTGTGGAAACCCAACAYGTGTGCGCACAAAACCGCCCTGAAATCACGCTTCCTTCCCAAAATCTGCTCCTTCCCGCTCCACTCTCTTCCCGTGCGTCCCATCCATTGTTCTCCCAGCTGGAAAACCTGGAGAGGCTCCTTGGRTGCTGCTCCAGGGATGGTTTTGGTGCCTTACAGAGGCCACAATTCCTCTCGGTTGGTTTTTGTGGGAGTTGATGCCGATGGTGGGGTTGGAGCGGGGCCAATTTTCCAGGAGCTGGAAGCGCCCGGAAGTGCGGGATGGCCGTTCCAAGGGGGTCATTCCTGTCCCACCTCCTGTCCTTGCCTTAGTTCAGGTGGGAACTCCAGGAATTCCCACCAGAGGCTGGAAAYCATGGAGAATCCATGGGAAATTCTCCTGGTATTCCTTAAATTGATTGGAGAATTGGAAGAGGATCCTTGGCTGTGCCAGCAGTGCCCAAAACTTCACAGAATTCGTTCTGATTTGGGGCTTTTTGTTCATTTTCTATCTTCAAACACCCAGAGATCTTTGGGACTGAGATTAGATTTAATCCAAGATCTTTGGCCTGGAGATCCGTTGGCTCTTCTTATGGGATCCCCTCTGCATGGATTCCCTTGGAAGCATGGGATGGCCATTCCAGGTCATTCCTGTCGCACTGCCTGTCCTTCCATCATCTTSTGGTGGCCTTAGCACAGGTGGGACTCCAAGAATCCCCACCAGAGGCTGGAAACCGTGGAGAATCCATGGGGAATTCTCCTGATAYTCCTTAATTTGACTTGGGAATTGGAACAATGCCACCGGTGCCCAAAACTTCACGGAATTCGTTCCTATTTGGGATCTTTTTGTTCATTTTCCATCTTCAAACTCCTAGAGATCTTCGTGACCAAGATCAGCTTTGATCCCAGACCTTCGCCACAGAGATCTGTTGGCTCTTCCYGCAGGATCCTCTCTCCATGGATTCCCTCGGAAGCACGGGATGGCCATTCCAAGGTGGTCACTCCTCTCACACTGCCTGTCCTTGCATCACCTTCTGGTGGCCTTAGCACAGGTGGGACTCCAWGAATCCCCACCAGAGGCTGGAAACCATGGAGAATCCATGGGGAATTCTTCTGATACTCCTTAAATAGAGTTGGAAAGTGGAAGAGGATCCTTGGCTGTGCCAGCAGTGCCCAAAACTTCACAGAATTCATTCTGATTTGGGGCTTTTTGTTCATTTTCCATCTTCAAACTCCCAGAGATCTTTGTGACCAAGATCAGCTTTGATCCCAGACCTTCGCCCTGAGGATCCATCAGCTCTTCCCACGGGATCCCCTCTCCCCAACAACACAAGCACAACTCCCCCACGGGCCGGACATTCCCCAGAAGTCACTCATTCCCGTTCTCCTCCTCCTCGTCGGGCGTYGCTCGGGTGGGATTCCAGCGGGATTTTCCCAAGGATCCCTGTGGAAAATATGCAATAATTTGTTTACAGGATGCTCTGGGCAGGGTGGTCCCTTGTCGAGCCTCGGCAGTCGAAGCACAATGTGCCCGGGATAGTTTTGTATTCCCACCCTCCGGAATTTTTTTTGGCGGGAAGAGGTTCTACTATGTTTCTATGGGACGTTGGGAATGGGGRCGGCCTTTGGGATTCACGGAAAGCTGCTTTCTAAGACTGGAAAATAAATTTTTTTATCTTAAGGAGAGCTTGGGATTTCGTCCTTGTTTTGGGGGTTTTCTGGCTTTTCTCTCAAGGTGGAGGTTTTGGGGAGGTTCTGCTTCTGGAAAAGTGGGAAAATGTTGGGTTTTTTTCTCAGATTGAGAGTTTGGTGAGTGAGGGAAGGAGCACAATTGGATTTTTTGGCTCAGCGTTCCCATGGTGGGTTCCTGGTGGGAGTTATTCGTGGTAAATCCGGCTAGTTTGGAGTTTTATGGGATTTGTTAAATAAGGATTTTAATGGCGTGGTCACTGAAAATATCCCGATGTTGGGAATGTGGAAATGAAGCTCCAGGGAGATCCCAGAGCCCCGTTCAGGGTGACTCCAGGAGAGCTGGAGAGGGACTGGGACAARRGATGGAGGGACARGACACAGGGAATGGCTTCCCAYTGCCAAAGGGCAGGGATASGTGGGATATTGGGAAGGAATTCCTGKCTRGAAGGGTGAGGATTAGCTGAGATGGAATTATCCATGTAATTTCTTAGACATCTTGGATTTCCTCATCCCAAGAAAAGGGCTGGATAAACCCGGCCAGAAGCACCGACACAGATCCATCCCTGCATCCCGGCTTTTCCTGGCAGGATCAGATCACTCCTGTATGGACCCAGGGATGAGTTTTGTGGGATCAGTCCAGGCCATGGGTTTTCCTGGTGGGATCTACCTCTCTCCGTTGGAATCACTTCCTTAAGGATTCCTGATCCATTGGAGCAAGTCCCAGCGGTGAGTCAGTTCTSCCATCGGGAATGGGATCTTGGCTCTGGAGCATTCCTGGAGGTGGGAATGGAATCCCAGAGCCCTGGGAAGCTGTGTCCATAGGGAAGCCATGTCCCAGTGCTGGCAGGAGGGGGTTMATTCCCAGGAATTGAGATTTTCCCATGGATTGATATGCGGGGCTAGGGCTGGGAATCCACCACCTCTGGGGTGCTCTGGTTCTTCCAATTCCTCAGTAACTGAGGATCTGAGCCCGCTCATCCCTCTCCATCCCTCTGGAATCTTCTGCTCTCCAAACCTTGGAAAACCTGTTCCCAAGGGCCACGGAAAGGCAGCAGATTTTTGGGAAGTGGAACAGGAAAGGCACCRGTTCCCRCTCTACCGAGGGGACCCCATCGTCYTGYGGGCCACKYTCCCCCATCCTGCTGGGAATAAYCTGGGAATGCGCRTCTTTGGGCYGGYTGGAATTCCCAGGCTCCTCTTCAGCGAGCTGCGGGCGTTTCCAGCGGGCCCGGCAGCGGGAGATGCCCGTGGAGGGCCGGGAGCGGATATTTTTTCCTGCCTTTTTTCCACTTCCTCGCCGGTTGGAGTCGGTCCCGGTCTCGTTTGGCCGCGGTTATTCCCGCTTTTATCGGGCTCCCTTTTTCCTGCCCCGCTCCGGGACCAGCCGGGACTAATCCCAGCTCCCAAAATCCGGGAATCGCCGAGCCCTCCGGCCGTGGGATCATCGCGGTGGGCGCCGGCRGCTTCGCGGCGCTTCCTGCCGGGATCGTGCCTCTGGAAGAGCCGCCCCCGCCCCGGCCGGGCCACGCGGGCTGTGTTTGTACACAGATGAGTAATCCCGGGATTTGGAGCCAGCGCTGGGAAACGCAGCAGCATCCAGCGGCAGCTCCCGGAGCGGCGCCGTAAGTCCCGGCTGGGCTTTTTTTCCCCCCCCCGTCATTCCCAGCTTTTCCCGCTGATCCCGCGGGCTGGCTCGTGGAGATGCCGGGAATGTGGGACACGCGCGTGGAAAAGGCACCGGGAGCGCACGAGGAGCATTCCCGGCCCTCCCACGGCTCCCGGAATTCCGGGGAAGTTTCACTCGGCGGAGTTTCGGGAGCCGGGATGGGGCGCCGGGATACCCCGATCCCGCGGGAAGGACGGGATTTCTGGGATGGAAAAGCTGCCGCTCCCGGCGGATCCGGGCGGATTCCAGCGGCTCCCGCGGCAACAACAACTCCTACAAAGCCTCCCTTGTCCGGCCGGGAAAGGTCCTGGCACGTCCCGGGCCGCTCCCGCGATTTTCCAGCGCAGMTCCGCGCCCTCCTCGCGCCGCCGGCGAGAAGGATTGGGGGATAATTCCTAAAATATTCCYGGCCTTGGAAAAGGCACCGCGGGGTGCCAGGGAGGGGTGGGTCGGGAGGTGCCAGGGAGAGCGGTGCCATGGGGAAAGGATATTCCATAGGGAGGGATATTCCATAGGGAAGGTATGCCATAGGGAGGGATTTTCCATGGGGATAGATATTCCATGGGGAAGGGTATGCCATGGGGAAGGAGGGATTTTCCATGGGGAAGGGTATTCCATAGGGAAGGATATTCCATAGGGGTAGATGTGCCATAGGGAGGGATATTCCATAGGGAAGGATGTTTCAAAGGGAGCCGTGCCAGGCAGAGGGCGGTGCCCCAGGGACAGCTCCGGGGAGGGGCCAGCGGTGCCAGGTGGGGACATTCCCCGGGGAAAGCCGGGATAAAGGGAAAGCTCTGGGACGGAGCGGCGGCTGCAGGGGCGGGACAGGCCCGGGAGGGCTCGGGGAGGGGGGTGGTCCTTGGGGACAGGGGACGGGAGCGGGGCTGAGGAGAAGGGGAGGAGGAAGAGGAGAAGGAGATTAGGGCGGAGGAGGAAGAAGAGGAGAAGGAGGAAGAGGAAAGGAGGAGGAGATTACAGAGGAGAAGTAGGAGGAGGAGGAACAGGAGAAGGGGAAGGAGGAAGAAGAGGATGASAAGGAGAAGGAGGAGGAGGTGAAGAAGAAGGAAGAAGAAGAGGAGGAGGCGTTGCATGCACCTGGGTGACGCTGCTGGCAGAGGTGGCTCCCAGGGGTCACAGCCCCCCGGATCCCTGCCTCGGGAATGGCCCAGCCGGGTGCTCCCAGCTCAGGGCTCCCATTCAGGGGTTCCATGCACAGTGGGATCCCCTCATCCTGAGAGGGGCCGAGCCTTTGGAATGTCTCATCCCTCTGGAATGGCTTCGTGCAGCCCTCCCGGGATAAGGGACATCATTTTGATTTTGGCGCCGGGCTGTCACTGCCCTCATTTTTTTTGTATCCCTCACGCTGGGATGGGCACGGGCAGAGCCTCGGATCCTGGGAATGTGGGAATATTCCAGGGGCAGCYCTTGCCCTGCTCTCTGGCAGCCTCAGAGAATCCCAGAATTTCRGGAAGGAAGGGACCTTAATACTCGTCTCGTTCCAGCCCCTGCCATGGGTGGGGACACCTTCCATGGACCAGATTCCAGCCCAGCCCTGGACACTTCCCAGGATTCAAGGGCAGACACAATTTCTCTGGGAATTCCATCCCAGTCCCTTCCCACCCTCCCAGCCAGGAATTCTTTCCCAATATCCCATCCATCCCTGCCCTCTGGCAGTGGAAAGCCATTCCCTGTGTCTGTCCCTCCATCCCTTATCCCCATCCCTCTCCAACTCTCCTGGAGCCACTTTATGCCCTGGAAGGGGCTCCAAGGATTCCCTGGAYCCTTCTCTTGATCCAGGTCCTGTTTCCGCCATGGAAAAGCGCAGGAATCCCATGGGATCCAGGGACTGGAGATTTGAGGAGCTTTGAGGCAGCACTTCGGTGGTTCCAGATCCCCACAAAGTTCCCGGTTCCTGTCTAATCTTTAACCCAACTGGATTCGGTCGGATTGTCACTCTCTTGCCTCGTTAATTTTTTCCCTCCCTCCGCCGCCTCCCTCTCCGGCCGTTCCTGGCGTTCCGTGGCCTTTTCCTGGTGCTGCTCACACCGGAACTGCCCGGCTGAGGGGAGAGGTAGAGCCGGGGATGGGAGGGGAGCCGGGAATTCCAGGGGCTGGGAAAGGGCAGCCAAGGGCGTTATTTGGGAATGGTTCTGCAGCGCATCCAAAGGCTGGATCCCAGCACATCCTGATGGCTGGAGCAGCTGGAACGCCAGCCCAGGAGGCTGCAAAGGCTCTTCCTTCGTGAGCTCTCAGAATCCTGGGAATCCCAGAACATTGGATCCCTGTGGGACCGAGCTGATCCCTGGGGCTCCATTCCAACTTTTCCTGCTCCAGGCACTCCCTGGCAGYAGGGAACAAGGGATAATGGATATTTTCCCTTCCTTTCCCAGCCCTGAGACGGGAGCRGCCAGCGCCAGGAGCGGGTAAGAACCAGAGCCGGGATATTCCATGGGGAGCGGGAAAGGTGATCCAGGTGGGATCCTGTGTGTACCCCCGACTCCCCAGGGCCCTTCCTGCATCCCAGGGATCTTGGTGGGATCTCCGGGTGCTCCAGGGATTGGAGCTGTTCCCACATCCGCCCTGGCTCTGTTGGGGTGGGAGCAGGGAATTCCCGTCCCTCTGGAATGGGGCTCGGGGATGTGGGACCCTGCTCCTTTGGGATCCCAAGGGATAGATCCCCTGAAGGGACGGACGCGGTTTCCCCTCTCCATCCCACGGGAACCCACCGGGATACAATTCCCCCGGGGATCCTGCTGGGAACGCTGAGCCACGTCCCCAGGAATTCTCGTCCCTTCCAGGCCACCCTGATTCCGGGATCGTCGCTTCGACCCCTCTGGAGCAGCTGCATTCCCATGGGATGAGGCCGGGAGGGGTTTGAGGGCTCATCCCGAGAGAAGCCGAGCTGGAAAATCCCCGGGACTCAGAGCCCGACCATGCGGCTGCTCAGCATCCACCAAGTGCCCGAGGTCAGCCGGGAATTCCCTGCCCTAATCCCGAGGCTCGGGGGGATTTCGGGATCTCGGGACAGGCGGGAGCAGCGTGGGGGTCTCAGCTGCGTCCTCTCCCAGAATTTTGTGTCTCCCGTGCTAGGGTCGGGCACTGGCAGAGCCCAGGATCCCRGGAATGTGGGAATGTCCCGAGACAGCCCTCACCCTGCCCCCGACTGCCTCAGAGAATCCCAGAATCCCAGAATTCCAAGYCTGAAGGGACCTGAAAACTCATCTCATTCCAGTCCCTGCCATGGGCGGGACACCTCCCTTGGACCAGATTCCAGCCYGRCCTTGGACACTTCCCGGGATCCAGGGGCAGCTATARCTTCTCTGGGAATTCCATCCCAGCCCCTCCCCACCCTTCCAGCCAGGAATTCCTTCCCAAAATCCCACCTATCCCTGCCCTCTGGGAAACCTGACCCGAACCCGAACCCGAACCCTGACCCTTATCCCCTTTTTCCCCGTGACCGCTGGCGGTGCCGCTCCTTCCCGGCAGAGCTACCGGGAGCCGGGAATTCTGTGCGGATACCGTCCCCCGCGGAGCTCAGCCCGCGCCTGCCTGCGCAGCCTCTTCTGCATGAACAACGAGACCCTCAACGTGTGGACACACCTGGTGCCCGCCGGGTGCGGGGCCGCGGGGATCGCGGGGGACGGGGGGGCCCGGGGTGACCCTGTTCCCATTCCTGTTCCCTTTCCCATTCCCGTTACCATTCCCGTTTCCACAGGTATTTCCTGTGGCTGCTCCTGGGGTGGCTCCAGGGGGGTGTCAGGCTGACCCCTTTCCCGTTCTCATTCCCCTTCCCTTTCACATTCCCATTCCCATTCCCATTCTTATTCCCGTTCCCTTTCCCATTGCCATTCCCTTTCTCGTTCCCCTTCCCATTCTTCTTCCCATTCCCATTCCCTTTCTCGTTCCCCTTCCCATTCTTCTTCCCATTCCCATTCCTATTCCCATTCCCATTCCCATTCCTGTTCCCATTCCCCTTCCCCTTCCCATTCTCCTTCCCATTCCCATTCCCGTTCCCGTTTCCATTCCCCTTCCCTTTCCCATTACCATTCCCGTTCCCATTCCCATTCCCGTTCCCATTCCCGTTCCCATTCCCGTTCCCATTCCCGTTCCCATTCCCATTCCCGTTCCTGCAGGTATTTCCTGTGGCTGTTCCAGGGCTGGCTCCGGGTGGGCTGGCCAGATCCCAGGATTTGGCCATTCCTGGCATTCCTGGGCACGTGCTGCCTGTACCCGCTGGCGTCCAGCGCTGCCCACGCCTTCAGCCCCGTGTCCGACCGCGCCCGCCACCTGGGCTACTGCTGCGACTACACTGCCCTCAGCCTCTACAGCCTGGGTGAGCCTGCATTCCCAGGATTTATGGRATTTTGGGAATTTGSGGGKGTCAGGRTGARCAGGGATAGCCYCCAGCACAGTCCCCGTGCCCATGGAGTGATCCTCACCCAGCTCATCCTGTGACACAAGCAGAGATTTGAGGATCAGCAGTTCCAAAAGCCCATTTGGCACTTCCAAAATCCCATTCCAAAATCCCATCCCAAAATCACAKCCAGAGGTGGGCTTTGGGGGAAATTCCCGCTCCTCCTGTTCCTCTTCCCTTCACCCCAGGGTTTGGGAACGGCCTAAAGCAGCTCTGGCCACAGATAATTTGGGAGCGTTCTGGCTTAGTGACCCCTTTTGGGATTTGGAGTGAAAGGGATGAAGGAAAATTCCACATTTCACACAGCTGGAGGAGCCTTGCYGGGAGCAAGCGGCAATTCCAGGACATTCCCATGGCTCCACGCCCTCTGGAATGCTGTCTGCGGGAGTTTCCCTCTGCTCCCCAGCTGCTCCCTGCTTTCCCACCTCCATCCCAGCTCCTGCTCTGGGAGATTCCCATCCCTTCCCAATCCTGCTGTGCTCAGAAGGATGAGGAATTCCAGGGGAATTCCAGGATCTGGAGCTGACCAGCCCCGGCTGTGCTTCCAGGCTCGGCGCTGGCGTACTCCGCCTACGTTTTCCCGCTGGAATGGATCGGGAGCACATTCCATGAGTGTTACATTCCCGTGGCTGTGGTCAACTCCGTCCTCAGCACCGGCCTCTCCTGCTATTCCCGGTGAGCTCTGGAATTTGGGATAAGGGGTTTGGTCAGGGATGATGCCAGCCTGCAGTTCAGGAAGGGGAAAGAGGGAATTTTTCCCTTTGGAAAACACAGTGAATTTGGGGAGCTGGATGATTCACATGGGAAATGAGGGGAGGAGTTTGAATTCTGGGAAGTTCCATAGGGGATTTGTGCAATCCTRGAATGGTTTGGATTGGAAGGGAACTCCAGGATGATCCAGTTCCACTATCCCAGATTCCCAGAGGAGCTGTGGATCGATCCCTGCAAGTGGCCAAGGCCAGGCTGGAGCAGTCTGGGATCGTGGGAGGGATCCCTGCCCTTGGAATGGGATCAGYTCCGAGCTCCCTTCCCAGCCAAACCATTCCATGGGCAAATTCCCAGCCCTCCATGGAAGGGATCCATGGCTGCAGGATCTGGTGCTGTCCCGTGGAATTCCCTGTGTTTCCCGGTGCATCCCATGCTCTGCCATGTGGAATTCCCTGTGTTTCCTGGTGCATCCCATGTGGAATTCCCTGTGTTTCCCGGTGCATCCCATGCTCTGCCATGTGGAATTCCCTGTGTCCTTCCCAGGTTTCTGGAGGCAGAGCGACCCCAGCTGAGCAAGGCTTCCCGAATTTCGGCTTTTGTGTATCCCTACATTTTCGACAGCATCCCGCTTTTCTACAGGGTGTGTATCATTTCTACAGAATCCCGGGAAAAATATCCTCAGCCCAGCCTGGAATTATTTGGGAAAACAGGACCGGCTTTGAGGTTCCAAGGCAAACAAACTCTGGCAGGAAAAGGCCCRGGGATATTTTTTCCTGCCCCTCTGGACAGGCAGATTCCTGCTGCTTCAAAGGGCTGGAAAATTCCTGCCTCAGGAATCTGGGAAGGGCCTTTCTCAGGGATTGAACTGGAGTAGGGTGGGAATTTGGGGAGGGATGATGAGGACAGGGATGTGGGGTTGGTGTGGAGGTGGTGGGGTGGGAAAGCGGGAATTCCAGGAATGCTGTGGCTCCCTTTGGATCCATGGATCCCCGTTTTTCCTGGGAAGCTGTGGCGCTGCGGGGCCGGGGGCTGCTCCGATGGATCCATCCCGCTGCACCTCCGGCATTCCCTGTGCGCGCTCCTCACCTGCACCATCTTCACCTCCCGCCTGCCCGAGCGCCTGGCCCCGGGACGCTTCGACTACATCGGTGAGAATTCCTGGGAATTTCAGGAATAAAACATCCCAGGGAGCCCTGGGATGGGTGGCTATTCCCTCTGGGAAAGCTGGGAATGCGTGGTTAGGAGGGAGGTTCGGCAGTGGTCCTTCCTAAATATTCCATGGAGGTGTAACATCCATAAAATTGGGATTTATTGGAAAAGCCTCATCCAGGAGCAGCCCAGGAGGGATTYGGGATGGAGCACCTGGAAACACTGTGATTTTCCTTGTTCTGCCACACTTGTGACAGGCACATCCCAATCCCTTGTTCCCGTTCCTGCCAGCTGGATTTTGGGATGGAACAGCTCCGTGCATGAGAATAAAACCTCAGGAATTAGGGATAGAAATAAATAGGAGGATAAAACCRCAGGAATTGGGAATGGGAGTTTGTGGGACAAATAATGGATGCTGGGTGGAGTGGGCTGAGCCTGATTTCATCCTGGAATCCAGGAATTCCAGAATAGTTTGRGTGGGAAGGACACATCCCATTATCCCAGGCTGCTCCAAGCCYCCRGAACATTCCAGGGCTGTGGAATCCCCCTGAATGCCCACGGAATTCCCTGGATTTTCTCTTGCAGGGCACAGCCACCAGGTTTTCCATGTCTTTGGGATCCTGGGAACGCACTTCCAGCTGGAAGCTGTCTCCATGGACATGGCAGAGCGGCGGGGCCGGCTCCCRCTCCCCTCTTCCCTGGAAACCTTTGGATCCTTGGGAATGGCTGCCATCACCAGCCTGGCCATCATCAGGATCTGCTCCCTGGCTCTGCCCCGGGAAAAATCCCACTAGGATTCGGGAATGCTGGGATCCGTGGGAGCAGCCCCATCCTGGAGGGGTTGTTGTGGATGAGGAGGAATTTTATTGCAAATATTTATTTGGGATTTTCCCAAGGGAAAAACTTGCGCTGGTTTTATCCGCAGGAAAAGTGTCAAATATTGGGGATTTGATCCCTAAAAAGGGAGGGAAGTGCTCCTGCTTCCCAGAGAAACCAGGATCCCKGAGGTCTGCCTTGGGGAGGAATCCAGGGAATGTTGGTGTCACCAGACATTCCAACAATTTGGAGATTCCTGGTGAAACCGAGGGCTCCCGAATTTCCATTTTCCCCTTGGAAGTGGTGTTTTTTGGGAATTTCAAGCCTTACASTCAGTCCAAGTGCCTGAAAATGCAGGATGGAGGGATCAAAGTTTCTCTCTGGAATAAATCCCACTGATTTTGCTCATTTCCCAGACAAAGAGATTCCAGGAGAGCTTCCATGGGATGTTMCTGTCAGAAAGCTCTTCCAGGGTCGAATTCTGGCAAATCCTGGGAAGTTCATTCCCATGGRAATGCTGAGTTTCCACATGGGGGATGGAATCAGGGAATTGCATCCTGTCCCAGGTGTTCCAGGAATGGGAATCCTGGGTTGAATGGATCCTGGGAATGAGGGTGGGAGACGGGAATCTCCCTGGATTTGGGATCGCTCCTTTTAGAAAAGGCTTTTCATGTTTTTCTTGGATCAGAGATTGGGAGTGGGATCCATGGGGAGAAAAGTTGGATCTGGGACAGCTCAGGGGTTAAAGGCACCCTGGRATGTAGAGAATTCCCAGGATTTTCCCTCTGCTCATCCCTCTGTTCTTTGTTTTCCTTCRCTGCTCCTGGAGGTCTCACTCTTTTCCAGGATCAGGTTTTCCCCTTGGCTTTTCCCGCAGGAACACGGCRCACACAGCTTATTCCTTGGGAATATTATCCCGGATAACCGTACGGGTCTTTAATTAATTTGCTTTAATTGCCTTGTCCGAGGCCGGACTGCTGCACTTTGGGAGCTCCTTAAAWGCAGGATAATGCACTAAAATCTGGGATAAAAGGGTTAAAAATGAGATAAATCAATCCTTAGGAAAGCTGGCTGRGGTTTCTTGGGATATTTATGAGCACTGGAATAGTTTCTCCAAGGGTTTTGTGGAATTGAATTTAGTATAAATCACTGATGTTCATCTGCTTCATCCGGTTTAATAAAAATATTCCTGGGAAAACCAATCCCTCTGGAGATAACTGCTGATAATTCTGGRGTTTATTTACTTTGGGAGCTGCTGTGACCAGGCAGGAATCCGGCTGGGATTGGAGAGCCTGGAAAAGCCCCAGGAGTCATCCCAGAATTATTCCCGGGCATTCAACTTTTGACCTGAAATCCTCTCATCCTCTCCAGTGACAGGAATTTTAGGGAAAAAGTGCATTAAAAGTGATAATAGTGATATGGGATGCTGGAATTCCACAGGATCCTCTGGCTGAACTCATGGAATGGGTGAAGCTGGATCTTGAAGCAGCACAGCAGGGATGAATTTTCCCTGCTTTTTAACAAAATTCTCTTTATTTTGCTCCATTCCCTTCCCAGGAGAATTAAAAGCACCATGTCCAGTTGTTCTGAGTAAATAAAATGGGATCTTTATTTGCTGGAAATGTTCCCTCGTGTGTCCATGCCCAATCCACAGCAAATCCCAAACAAATCCAGAAATTTTGGGACCAAATGGCAACAAACTTCCCTTTAGCCCCATGGATTGGGACAGGCTGGAAAAGAGAAGGATTTAGGGCTCCTTCAGGATGCTTTATCCCTTTTTCCTTGAAGTGTGTTGTGGAAACATTAAGGAATTTTGGCTAAAACTGGGAATTCTCTGGAGTTTAAAAGGAATCAATTCCTTCAATTTCCCCTTTGGAATGCATTCCCTTGGCAGCAAGTTTTCTCTCCCGTGGACTTGTTCGGCTGGGATTTTCCCACATGTCCCAGCACCACGTTTGAATGTTTATTTTCCACCACGGATCATTTCCCACAGGTTGCGAATTAACTCGCTTCCGGCAGGTTGGGAATCCACTCATTTCCAGCGGGTTGGGAATTAACTGRTTGACTGATTCACCTCCAGACAGGCACACGGGGGAGGCCATGCGAACGGGCTGGATTCCACCTGTTTTCCTGAGAGATTAGGCGGAAAAAAAGGGAAATGAACCCCAGAAAAAACCGGGATCGGCCGGGCCGGGACTCGAACCCGCGGCCCYGMCGCCTCCTCCTCCKYCACCAGCAGGGGGCGCCCTCTCCGCGAGCCGCACCCCYCCGGCATCGCCATAGCGACGCCGTGCGTGATGACGTTTCTCGGGCGCGGGCGCTGATTGGCCGGATTTGAATCGCGGCGGGCGCGCGGCCGCTGCTCGGAGCCGTCCGGGCGGAGCGGGACCCCCGGGCCCTGAGGGGACAGCGGCGACACCGCGGCGACACCGCGACATGAAGGCGGCGTGAGTGGCTCCAGAGCCCCTGCGGCCGGGCAGGGGGCGGCTTTGGGCTCGGGCAGCCGCGGCTTGGGGGGCCCCG